AGATTTTATGTTAGGTCCCAATTTAGTTTTAGTCTAAAGAGTTTTATTATATCCAGCCGACTTTTTTTTAGCTGTAAATCATTTATGGCACTACGAGTTTCAGTATGTCTTTGTTGTTCCGTGGGTGTGAATGTAGTCAGACCTCACGCGTACTTTGTAACAAGAGTCCATTCTAACTAACTGCATCACGGTTTTCGAGACAAATGAACGCAGCGCTTTTGTGCCGCGTAGCAGTCAAACGGTTAAATGCCCTTTAAAAGCATTCCCTGTCTACAGCGAAAATTCTTTATAAAATATTTAAAATGCACCATAATTAAAAAAACTTTTTTACGTATATATTATTCTTTATTTTTGGGTATATAAAACAAATTAAATTTCGACTTGAAGAAAATTTGGAAATTTGAACATCCCTTGTCCCCTTAAACTCTGGACGATTCCATTTTCGAATTGCCCCACATAACAATCGTATTGACCCTCTGTGGGACATAGGCCCCACTTTGGAAGAAGCTGGTCTAGAAGATATTGGTAGACAATCACCTGCAAAGATTTATTTTAAAATAAATCTTTGCAAATCCAAATAAAATTAATTTAGAGAAATTTATATGTGTGTAATTCTAAGATAGAAGAATAAAAGTAAGTAAAAGAGGGCATGAGGGTGACTGGCCAGGGCACCAGATTTTTTGAGATCATTAATTAGTATCTTTTGTGAAATGTTCTGTCTCGATTTCACTATTTTTGATTTTTAGGGTAGGTCCCCAAACATACTATTCTTGGCCCTGGATTTAGAATTTCTAACTTTACTAAAAGATGCGATACCTATCTTTCAAATTAGAGATATTCCACTTCTGGCGAACTTTCTAAGAAAAACTTGTTCGCATTTAGCTTACATATAAAGAAAAGTCATAATGCAACTAATTTATTCTGTCACTGAAAATGGAAGCCTACGAGAATTGATGGTGTTCTGTGGCTTCAGATCTCCACTGCAGGAGATCAAAATTCAGTATTTTTTTTTCACACGTGTAAAATCTGGCTAAATGCGTTTCCTTGTTAATAAATTACAGAAGTTTTTTTCAATTATTCCTGATATTTTAAAGGAAATATTTCAATGTATTTTTTTTCCTGTGTTAGGTCTACATAATCGTTCATTAAAACGACATTAATTTTAATAATCTGAAAATGACACAAATGACGTGAATTGTTTCATAATTGTATTAATCATCAGCATTTGAAAAATTTAATTTGGGTTCAAGATTATTTCAGAAGTGAATTTTTTTTAGTTCTTAATTTAGATGTCGTACAGTTTGGTAATATTTATTTTCCCTTATTATATTATGGCATCATTAGTGGTATCATTAATGATTGAATACTGGTAGTTTGCCATAGATTCAAACTCAGACAAACAAATGGGATGGCTGCATGGTATTGTTACAGTCTTTGTGTTGATTTAGTTGTTTTTAAATAGAATAAATTAAAATTGTTTTATATTCCCGTGCAATGCGGCACGAGACTTTGAAGAGAAAGCTAAGCTGGAAAAATTAAAATACAGGTGTACGATATCTCGTAATAGATATCTCGTAATTGTACTCTTTTGGTATCCAGGAGAATCGAGAAAATACAAGAAGTTTTTCGTACGTGATTTAAAAAGCTTATAAAAGCTGAAGGAGAACTACTCAATTCAGTTGTTAAGAAAACTGTTGTTGACCGTAGCGAATTCACGGTAAAATCGGATTAGGTTTCTCTGTTTTGAATTAAGTTCTGTTGAATGTTTTAGTAATTTAAAAGATAATTACTGTGAGATATTGCAATATTGCACGGATGTCTGAGGAAATTTAAGCGTTTTGTTTTATTTGTTGTGATAATGATAAATTTTATTCACTTTTCATCAGACTTGTGCATTCAATTTATTATGAACCTGTACCCACACAACAATATTTTTCGATGGTTTTCATGAGCCATTTTTCCTTAGAAAGTCCTCCATGAAGACATCTCTCTCCTTAGGCTGATACTCCTCTTGTGTTTTGTTAATTCAAATAATCCTAACCCTCAAATTATGGCACTTGTAGCACTAAATCATGATGAAAAATTTCTAAAAAAATTTTAAATTACTCCGTGGGCTCCATAGTGGCCAAGCGCTAAAATTGCTGACCACTGGTAATTCGACATGAGCTCAAATCATGGTGAACACTCTTGTTCCATGAAAGTTTTCTTGGCTTTTCGTACATTCAGTGTGAATGCAATCTAGTTCCCCTTAGAAAGTCCTTCATGATAGCTTCTGTCCTCTTGCACAGATTCAAAATCCATTAAATTTTTCTGTATTGAATGCAATTATACTTCGTCTTTTTAAAGATATCTTGGGGAAAATATTTGTATGTATCAAACTGAGTGTGATTATGAATATTTTTAAGCAACTAACGTTTTGAGCAGCAAAGCTTTTCTATTATGCTCATAAGCACTTGAAAATTAGACAAAAAAGCAACCTTTAATTGGCATAAAACTATCAATTTCTAGAGTAATCTACATAAATTTCTTTCCTTCAGTAGTTAAAAAAAAAATTGTGTTAAAATATGAAGAGTTTTATTTGTAGAACATTTATTAGTTAGATTTGTGATAACCTACTCAGCTTTTGGTTTCCATAATTTTCCATTTATCAGAATAGTGATGAAGTCATTAAGTATAGGGGGAAAAAGGTATTTTAAAAAAGATTATTTTTACAAAATGACACAAAATTTCATGAGCTATTATAAGTAGTTGCATAACATAAATAATTAAATATTTGTGGAAATTTTGTTGAACTCTCTCAGAGTTATCAATATTTCTATATAGAAATAGAACATAATTAAATATCACTAATGAGTATCACAGATAGTGGACATATAGAATGAGTGTCACAATATTTTCAAAGGCAGCAGTCTTACTGATGAACAGAATTGTCGGGAATCGTGTATGAATTTCACATACATGTTTCATAACACCAGGAATTTTATAAAAATAACAGTTATGTGATATTAGTAATTTACCATTCTTTCCAAAGTGTTTAAAAATATAATATTTAAGAGTTGGCAAATTTGTTTCAAAAACTTTTATTTAGTTCACTCATGGTGTTTGCTGCTGTAATAGGAAGATCGTCATCGATTTTTAAACTATTTCTCGATAAGCTATCAAGTTCAAATTTTGTATGCACACTGTTTACAAATCATAATTCAGTGTGGTAACACTAGTTTTATAAAATTCGATTTAGATTTTTTAAAATTTAATGTTGACACAATTTTTTTGTGCATATTTCCATTTAGAGAACAAACCATAAAACTAAAAAATCTAAAGTTTGCATCATTTTACTTAGCAGAAAATATCCTTTTAAATAAAATTTGCAGGAAACTTTGAACCTAATTTCTGAAGTTTGGATGAAGTCTTGGAAATTTATAGATTTCTTTCCATTATTTGAGATAAGAGAATTATTGGAAAACTGAACTAAAAGCAGAAAAATAATTTATTATATGGATTAATGGTAAGTAAGAGATTACTTAAGCCCTTTGCAGAATTCCTGTACAGTTTTATAACATGAAAAATAAAAGTGTAGGTTCTTAAATAAGAAAATCAAATTGCATTGCCAAAAGTATGAGATTTATAAATTTATCAAGCACATGCCACATTTTTATTAATCATGACACGAATTTGTAGGTGAATTTCGTGCTCTCATTAAATTATATGGTAAATTATTTTTCTCGTTTAAATTCATTAATGATTTTTTGAGTTATAAATAAAAGTTTATTTTATATAAAAAAATTTTTTTTTGTTCAATAAATTGCTCTAAAATGGAATTAGTAATTCTCTTTGTATATAGATTTCAAGAGGAATAATAACAAAAGTGTGCTCTGAGCTGTATATGTGCATTCACTTTCTGACTTGTAATAAATTTGTTTCTTTAGAGCCAGTGTTAGGCCTTTGTTTCAAAACATCAAGAAGATTAGGTTCATCAAAAAAATTGTCAATGTTGCGTGGACTCTTGGCTCCCTTAGACATTGGAGGGTGGAAGCGAGACAAAAATCCGCGTTTGCCATTCTTGGCATACCTTTTCATTGTAACCAAAACATGGGTAATTCTGTATTTGAGGGTACATTTAAAATAACAATATTCTGCAATGACCTGTTAAGGAGCACGCATACCAGGGCGAGATAATCTGGGACAAAACGTTGAAGGGTTAAAATTTTTTGTGAATTAGCATTGAACTGTGCCATCACTTTAATTATTTTTGTTTTAAAAAAAATCTGTTCATAAACAATATTTCCTGTATTAAGAATACTGCACAAAAATTTCAAATTGAGGTAAAATGCCTTGTTTCAAAATTTTAATCAGTTTTCTTATACTATAGCAGTATAATACAAGAATTTGTGAGTTAAAGTAAAATGTTGCCAAATCAGTTACGTAGCAACCCACAGTATCTTCAAAAAGTATTTATGTGGTAACCAAGACATGTGCGTAGCAGATTTTGGCCAGTGCATAGTGACGATGTTGTATGTTGCCAAGTTTGTGTAAATTTTTATGTATCTTAAACGAAAACAGATGTCTGTATACATGAGGAGTGCAAAAAAAATTACAAAAGTTTTCCTTATTAATTGTAAGTATTTTATTACTAATGTGTTTTGCTTTTTGAATTTTATTGATTGATTGGTCTGTTATGGAATTTTTTGTGTCATGATTTTGGAAATGGCTCTTGCCTTTGGCAAAAAATTATTCACCAATTAATTAATTTGTGTATGCTGTCAAAAATTGCCACTTAAATTCTAAGTATTTGGTTGGGGGTGAATAATCAGAAAGCACTAAAGCACTGTCCTAATTCGGGAAGGAAGTTGAAAATTGTGTGTTTAAATAAGGAACTTTCCATACTGTATGTTAAAAGTACGAGGGGGCAATACATAAAGGGAATAAAAATGAAAATAAATATGCTATTTGCAACACGTTTGTTTGAAAACATGAAATGTTTTACTTTTGAACATGCTTTTACTGTATTATGTGTTCTCTTCCTTTTGAAAGCTTGATTAGCAAATTCTCGGTATATTAAATTCTTTCTTTTTATTTTAGGAAGGATCTGTAAATGTATAACAAAACACATGGCAGACTTAAAGTTTACAGATGCAAGATTTGATCCAGGTTAGTATGAATTCATCGATGAAACTGCCCTAAACATATACATAATAAAGTTAGTCTTCTCGTAATAAAGCTATATTTTAACTTGCAAATCTTGAATATTAAAATTAATTACTGTGTACTTATATTAATTCAGAAGTCAAACAACAAAAATCAGCATTATATTTTCAAAATTTCACGGTACTAGTTTCGATGACTTAACCGAACCATCATCCTCAGCTGCAAAAACGCAAAATGTACTTATATATTAACCATTTTGCTGAAATTTGACGATTTTTTTCAGACGAAAAAGTAAGTTACTAATGTAAAGTGGCAAATTCCGTGACTTTTACATGAAAAAATAAAACATTTACATTTTTCACGAAAACTGTTTGAAATTCATTTTTAGCTTTTCTTTTCCCCATGTATACAGCGATTTCTTTTCCCTAAAAAATATCAAAGAATTGCATAAACTTGTCATAGCACTCAACTTCAGCAGTGTGCATCATTTACCTACCAGACAATTTTAATCATTGTTCCCTTTAGCAATTTTGCAGCAAAATACTATATTCCTGCAGAAAATTTACTGCAGTTTCTTCCATTACTGGCAAATTAAAAAGTGCATATTAAAAAATTGAGTCTAAGGTAAAAAATACCAAGATTTGTTTATAAAAGGTATTGGAACTTGGAATACAACAAAAAGAACACATACGAAAAGGACAGGGTTGCTTTACTGAAGGAATGTTAAGAGCATGATTGCAAGAATTTGCACATTCTTAAAATTTGGCCACTTCGGCTAAAGCGGTTCCGAGAGTACCAAAGTACCCATTACTATTTATCTTATGTTTTTGACAAATTATATGAAGGGTATATTTTAAAAATTACAAGGATGCAGAAAAAGAGGAGTTTAATCTACTGTAATTTCTCATCAAAGTCTGCTGTAATTTTTAAAAGTAACTTATTTAACCTCACTCTGTTTAAGTATAGTAATCCAAGTTCATTTTTGTGTCTCGGCAATGAAATAAAGGAAATTATAACTGCAGAGTTCCATTTACCTGGAAAATCCTAGAAGTCAAGGAAGTATGGGGCAAGTAGTGAAAATATGATTTTTTTTTTTAGAAAATTAAAACCATATACAGATGAAGCCTCTCAAATAATAAAAAGCTTATGCTTTAAGTTGAACCTGTAAGCAAAATTTGCCCATCTGTAGAAGTAAGCAAATAAAGAGATACAAACAGTAATCTGGTTTTCTTGCACAAAATATTTTACTCATTTCATACCTGTAACAATTTTATCAACCCACAGCTATCCTCACCATCTTCTAGTGAGTTACTGTTTCTCTGTTTAGAAATATCATTATTCTGTTAATTTCTTTGATTAGAAATATCATTACTCTGTTTATTTTTCTGTTTCGAAATGTAATTATTCTATTGATTCTTCTGTTTAGAAATATTATTCTGTTGTCTTTCTATTTAAAAGTTAATTTTTCTTTAAAAATTTATAATGCTGTTCAGAAGCTGCTGCATTTCACATTGTTTATTTGTATGTTTAATAAATTACTGTATTAATTAAATACTTTTTTAATTCATAACAATGCTTAGCTTTTCCGATTTATTTTCAAACATCATGAGAATATGTTATTATTCATGATGCATTGTTATTTTTACAAAATGAGCGGGTTTTCCTGAGTTTGGTATTTCTTTTTAGAAATTGAGCATACACTTTTTTTTATTAGTTTAGATGTGTGTATCCTAAATATTTCTCCTCCATTTATTTCACTGTAGTACGCCTGATAATTTTTTATGACATTCGTAGTTATTTTGTTGTATCATATAAAGCCAAAAAGTATTCAGTCATTCGTGCTTAATTTAATAACCAGTTCATTTTGCTAAGTCTTGGAAATTAAAAGCTGAATTTCAGTCAGATCCCTGAACTGTGAAGATTCTCTTTAATCATAAACAAACATAATAATAACAAATGAATGAAAGTGGCTTTGAGCTTGGCTGGGTCTTGCACACAAGGTAGAAATTTACAGGTCATATATTAAATCTTAAGTAAATCAGTTATTGAGAACTTTTTTAAAGTTTTAATTAGATAAAACACCAGTAAAAACTGATAATATTTAAGTTTGGATATTATAAAATTGTAGATTTTTTTTAGTGAATTTTTCCAATTTATTTGGTTTCTAATATGAGGTATAATTTCTGCTTTGCTCAAGTTCAGATATAATGTAACAGTGCTTTTATTCACTTCAAAAGAGTATGTCGTAAATTAAAAATTTATTTTGATTAAATACCAATTTCTTAAAAGAATCATGCATTTAAAATAAATTTTATCGTAATATAAAAGTAAGAATAAGTACCAACTTTGCTAGACAGTTTTTAACAAAATTCCAATGAAGGTAAAAGCAGGCACCACGTAAAAGACAGCTTTAATATCTTTTGTTTCAAATGGCAGGCACTAGTCAATTTTTAATCTTTTTGCCACTACTTAGGCCGGAAGCGGTGGTCATCTTATTATGGAGGCAGCTAATAGGCAGCCATCATTAACCTCCTATGAGGGGACAGACAATTTACATCCATGTGTTCTCTGGGATTCGAACCCTGGCCCTTCAATATCGCAGTCTTAAAAAATGAATGTTTCTTTTATATTAGTCTTTGCTAGAGGAAATGGTTTTTAATGTCACCACTGGAGATAAATTAGAAACTGTATATTTAATTTCACTTTAGAAGAAATCCAATTCAGAATTTTGTGTATTTAGTAAAGTCAAATAGCTGTTATAAATATAGCTCTTGGGGGGGGATTACTATGCTTGTTGATAACATAATTGTTTATTTTGAACTACCCATCAGTGTGATGGTAAATGGCGACTGCTGTTGTGTAGAAAGTAATGTTTAGGGAAGACATGGATGTATATCACTGTGGTATCGATGGAATAATACAGTTTAAATCCTCTGTAACAAAGCTCATTCAAGAGATTGGTGGAAAGTGAAAGAGAATGAGACCCTCAGAGTCCATCGATAGAGGTTTTTTTTCATCAAATTTTGGATGCACCTGAGCAAAATTATGTTATTACAGTTGGTATCTTATGACCAAGACAGGCACATTCTTCGTCCCCCATCTTCATTATTTTTCAGCCTGTTGCCCATTTGAGAAATTGATCTGCAGCTGTAGTAGTAGCAGCAGTGCTCCCGTATTGGCTGGCAGTATGTTCCAAGACCTACTGCAGATACTTTAAACAATGGATTAAAAAGTATATTCTTGCAAGTTACATAATTAAGATTAAGTTTAATTAATAATTGTGCAAGACATTACTGACATTAAAAAAAATATAAATATTCTGTGCATTACAGTTCCTTATGTATTGCACTATTAAATAAAGTAATGTAAATAAAACTTGTCAAGTGAAGTGTACTCTCTCTTGCATCTATGAAAGTGAGGCCTTCTTGTATTTTAACTTCACATACAAAACAAAATTGAAAAATGAAGAAAGGCAATTTTTTTACTGTGTAAGAATTGGGTTTTAATGAAGGTTTCCTGCCACTGCAAATATTGTCTGCGCAAACAGTTTGCATTGGCATGTTTAATCATATTTTGTCAATTTAATCATATTTTTTTTTTTTTTTTTCATCGTTATCATCAAGTAAAAGGTATCTGAAATGGAACTATCATGCTACCAGATTAGAACTATCATTTACTTCCAGTTTTGTTGCAAAAAAGTCAGCTACAGAATTGCACCAAAACAAGTGTACAGCTTTAGGTACTAATTTTGTATCATATGATTCTGTGAAGTTTCGGTACCAAAAGTTCAAAAACAAGGAGTATGGCATTCAAGATTAGAGCGTTCTGGCCAGCCTATGATGTTGACGAGATACTCCTGCAAGAACTTGTGGAAGAAGATCAGTATGCAACCACTTGAAAGTTTGCTAAGGAGTTAGACCTTAGTGGCATACCCATTAGTTATGTTATTCATTGCATAAACTGATGTACAAGCTTGAGCGCTGGGTGCTGCATGAGCAAACTCAAGAAGACAAGGACAAATGTGTTCGAGCCTACACTAATCTGCTTGAATATCAATACAAGGACAAAATTCTGGACCGGATTGTCAGTTGTGATGAAAAGTGGGTTTATTTTAATAACACAGGCTGAAAATTGGGTTGGTCTGTGCCTAGTGAGCCCATCGACATTGCCCCAAAGTGCAATTTGACTAACAAAAAGATCATGCTTTGTATCTGGTGGGATTGCTGTGGTATTATCCACAATGAGTATCTGGAAAAAAGTAAATCTCTTGATAGTAAGTTGTAACCCAAGATGCTAGTCTGTGTTGACACTGCTATCAAAGAAAAATGTTGAACTGATCTCCGGCAGAAAATGATAATGTTCCATCAAGATAATGTAAGACCACATGTGTCTGCATTCACCAGCTGGATTCTGTACAGATTCGAATGAGATCTTTTGCCACACCCACCATATAACTCCGACATCTCTCCTTCAGACTTCTACCTTTTTCACACATGGAGCTACATCTTGCTGATGCTATCTTTCATCCTGCATGGGACATCCAAAATTAGTCTACTTGTTTTTGGACTCATGGCCACCAAGTTTCTGGGCCGAAGGCTTTGAAAAACTAGCAGAAAATCATAGATTTGGGTGGTGATTACTACCCGCAGTAAAGGTACTGCTTTCAGCTATTTTTTGTAACTTTATTAAGAAAATTTTTTTTTTCAGAAAACTTTCGTTACAACCAGATATTTAAATTAACCAGTTCTTTATAATGTCAGCTTTTACTATAACAGGGTTCATACTGTCTTTAGGTTTTTTTGAAATAAATTTTTGGTCCTTAAAAGTCCTTAATTTCAGCCAAAATCAGAAGAAGGTCCTTAATTTTATTCGTCTGAAATTTCTGTCTGTTTTTACGAGTACCATTTTGAGTGCGAATTGGCATTTTGGAGGAGTACTTGTGGCAATTCACTGACGTATGATTATCTTCTGAATGTGTTCATGGGTTACAATTTGTTCCTATT